TTTACATTAGTTAAATTATATTATTTAGATATATTTCATTAGAATAGAATAGTTAGAAATATATGCCAGTATGTGCCATATACCACTATATGCTGTATACCAGTATGTGCCGTATGCTACTGTATGCTGTATACCAGTGTGTACCATATGCCACTGTATGCCATATGCCAGTATGTGCCATATGCCAATGTATGCCACCTGCTATATGGTTGTACTGTATGCCAGTGTATGCCACCTGCTATATGGTTGTATGCCAGTGTATGCCACCTGCCACATGGTTGTATGCCAGTGTATGCCACCTGCTACATGGTGTATGCCAGTGTATGCTACTTGGATATATGCCGGTGTATGCCACTTCTACAGATATATAAAGGGTGGTTTTCCTTTTTAGTTCCTGCAGATATCTTCCCTACAATTCCTACCTTTCCTTGGATATTGGATTGGCTATCTAATATCTGTGCTCCTCCTTTTAATGTGAATTGTATTATCTGTATTACCTATACTATCTGTATTTTCTGTATAACTTATTTGTATTACCTTATTACTAAATAAACTATTTTATATCTGTGAATATTGTTCTATAAATTAAGTACTGCTGTAACAATACTATAAAATGTATAATAATAATATAAATAATATAATAAAATTTAGGAATTGCTATTTCCACCCCCATTTTTGCTAATGCCACCCCCAGATATTATAAGGTGTTCTGAAATAGATATTCTTATTAAGTAAACCTTTTTGTGATCTTAATAAAAGTTGTTCATCAGGCCTTTCCGGTTCTAATGGTAGTAAAACCATTATACTCGGACCAGTAGTTCCTAAGATATTTATATCCGAAGTTAGTTAACTTTCATTTAACTTTTAAATAAAAACTATTGGTCCTACTTTAATGATTTTATGACCATTAGAACCAGAAAGGCCTGATGAACAACTTTTATTAAGACCAATAAGAAGGTTTTCTTAATAACAATACCTCTTCCGGAGCACTTTTTTAAATTTTAGAGTGTGGCATTAGCAAAAATGGGGGTGGAAATAGCAATTCCCTTAATTTAATACTTTTTATTGTTTTATATACAGTCAGTCCTCGATATATGTTGCCACTTTTGATATAGTCACAATTATAAAAAAATTCCATATATCGATATTTTTATTTTAACGAACATTATAAAACGTAAAAAAATCCTCTGTATAGGCACTATCACTTTATTCGCGTTGGATTTTGTTACCAACCGATGAGGTCTGACTGTAGGTAAATATATACTGTATATTTTATTTGTTTTATTGTTATAAAAATAAGTTATATACATAATATGTACTATATGTACTTTATAGATATTATATATTCTATAAGTAATCTCGTAGTGATTTTTTATCTTAGATTAAATCAAAGTTGTAACGTTTTGGTTAGGGCTAAAATCAAATACTGCCAAATTTTGTTGGTACTACTGGAATATTCATCTTATTTAAATAATTAGAAATGGATTCTAAATCGAATTAAAATATTTACTATAGTATTACATCCCATATATAATTTGAATTCATCTGTGAAATATATTGCACTTAAGTACTGTGCAATGTGAAATTCAATGTTTTCTGAGAACAAAAATTTTAGGTTACACTTATGTGAGAGCATAAAAAATCTCAAAATATATTATATAGATGTTCTTGCGAAAACATAAAATTAAGTTTCACATACTGGTACCGTGGTCTGTGCTGTATGATAATAAAAAAGAAAGCAACAAAAAGAAAAAGGTCTATTTTTAAATTTGCTAAAAAATAAATTAATATTAAAGTATACATGTAAAATATGATTTACTACATTAACTCTAAAAAAAAAAAAAATTGTATTAGAGCCAATGTAATCACAATTTATATTTACTATTTATATTGTGTGGTTCCTATGTAATTATATTAACACTTTTTATGTATAGAAGACAAGACTAAATAATTGATAAGTGTGACAACTAAAGCAACAATTTGAATGCCTCTGTTTGAACATACAAGACCTAATAAAATTACATATACTCTCAATAATTCTAATCCTAAACCTAGTCATAATCTTTAAAAAAAGAAAAAAAAACGCCCAAAAATTTCGTATTCAAATTTCTGCTTCAGTTGCCGCAAGCATTAAAATTCGGTTTCATACCTTTTATCCGGTAAATTCTACTTTGTGTATTAGGGTTTCATTCTTATAAAGATGAAATTTTGAATTTTGTATATGCCAAATGAACAAATACTTATACACTTATATATTAACCTATTACTTGCCAGCAAAACCTGGACAAATCTCAAACCAACCGCTATTTATAAAAAATTAAATCAAAAAAAAATAATCTTGATATTTTTGCAAATATATATAACTATTAGAATATATACCATTTGTTGAAATAAATATTATTATAAATGGTTCTGAGATTTGTTTAGTCAGAGTTTGGGATTTGGGCGTGGACAAATCCAAACCATGATAGTTTGGGATTTGGAAGGCAAGTATATTTAACCCCATTGAGCAGCTTTTGAGAAATCATATCCCATCGGCGGAGGAGGTCTCAGTGATGGTGGCAAATCTCTCAATGTTAAACCAGCTGGAAGCTTATATTTGAACATTGGTGTTGGTCTTTGTTGTAATGATTGTCCACCTTGTTCTCTCGTGGATATTTGGCGTCGTTGTTGAAGAAGAATGGGATTTTGAGACAAGTATACTATAAGAAAAAAACACGGACAAGATATTTAGTTTAAAGTTTATTATCAATTGAAACAAAAATAACGATTAGACTTACGATGAGGATCAACTATAGAGAAATCAATTCCATATGGAACATGAGAGTATTTACAACTTAGACCGAAAGGACAATATCCAGTTTCATTAAATTTTCGGCAAGGTGATTTCTTGCTATTTTCCAGTAATAACTCAACAGGATCTAATGTGGTCTGATTCTTTAGATCGAAGCATAATACATAAATAGCAACATAGTGAGGATACATTCATTACCTTTATAAGAATCATAATGAAGTTTTACGTTATTTTGATGATTTGCTCCTTCTATATGATTTTTTCTAGCCTCGGCATTATCAGGAAAAATTCGGTCACAATAATCGCAGTAATCTTAAACGAAAGCACAAAATACATGTATACATATGTTTTTAGTATTGTATTGTTTGTGTTCAACTGCATAAAAGCTCACAATAGACGAACTTACATTTTTTCACCATTTTTAATACAAGTAAACTTCATTAGAAGTTTGTTTTTTTTTGACGCATGTTTGGAAATTTGATTGATCGATTTGATTGGTCAATAGTCACGTTTGGATCGGCATTTATTTCTGTATATCTAGTGATGCGAACGGCTCGAGCCAAGCCGCGAGCCGAACAGCTAAGCCGAGTCGTTTAACGGCTCAGCTCCAGGCCTACTAATAAAGCATCGGCTCTAAAAACGGCTTGGCTTAAAGCTTCAGAGCCAATCGTGGAACTGCGAGCCGATAGGGTTATATCATTTTACTATTAGCCAATAATAAACTCACCTAGCATTGTGACTAGGAAATCTTCCAAAATCTCAACAGGCCATAATACTGACATCACGCGAAATGACAATTAATATTTAAAGATTAGTATCACATTAAGACTTTAAATTTTTAATTGTTACACGCTGTGATGTCAGTATTACGGCCTGTCGAGATTTTGGATGTTGGGATTTCCTACTAGACCCTTGTGACTTTGATAGAATTAACAATTTATTTAATTGCTTGGATAAAGTTTTATCCAAGCAACTTAAAAACCTAACATTTCATTATATAGAAAATTATCCGAAATTTCTGTAAATTGATAGAAACCTTAACGTTT